CGTCAAAACCATTTATGAGTGAATGAGAAGTTGATGTCGTTTTCGGGTTCGAGGAATGTACATTTAAAGATTTAAATGTGGGTTTCCTTTTAATGAGTTGTCTCACATTGAAACTTTAAGAGAACTTTTTTGTGTATATAAGCTCTAGACTGTAACACTTGGGTTGGGCCCCAAGGGACACCCCAAGTTTGTAGAAGAGAGGAGTTGTGGACAAAGTGAACCTTAACCCAAACTACCACACACATGCGTGCGCCGCCATCCGTCCAGCCTAGCCGAGCCGTGCCGGGTGCGGGTGTGGGTTGGGTCGGTTCTTGTATTAATTTTTTGGATGAAATTCATTTGAATTTTTTCAAAAAAGAAAGTGTGTAAATTGGTTAAATCATTATATGGTTTAAAACAAGCGCCAAAGCAATGGCATGAGAAATTTGACAAGGCAATGATGTCAAATGGATTTAAAATTAATGAGTGTGACAAATGTGTTTATATTAAAAACATAGATAAAGGTTATGTCATTGTATGTTTTTATGTAGATGATATGCTCATCATAGGTAGTAATAATGATATGATTAAAACTACTAAGAAAATGTTGAATAAACATTTTGACATGAAGGACATGGGCATTGCTGATGTAATTCTTGGTATGAAAATTACCAAAACATCAGAAGGATATGCTTTGTCACAATCTCATTACATTGAGAAAATACTTGACAAATTCAGCAAAGATGATGATCATCTTGCTAGAACACCTGTAGATGTTAATTTGTTTCTATCTAAGAATGTACAGGAAAGTATTTCTCAATTAGAGTATGCCCAAATTATTGGAAGCTAATGTACTTGATGAACTGCACTCGCCCAGATATAGTTTATGTAGTAAGTAAATTAAGTAGATATACGAGTAATCCAGGAGTAGAGCACTGGAAAGCAATTATAAGGGTTCTTAGATATCTCCGATTTACTCGTAACATCGGGCTTAATTATACTAGATATCCAGCAGTACTTGAAGGATACTGTGATACAAATTGCATATCGGATACTAGAGACTCGAAGTCTACTAGTGGGTATGTCTTTACTCTTGGTGGGGCGGCTGTATCTTGGAAATCCTCCAAACAGACTTGCATTGCTAGGTCTACTATGGAATCAGAGTTCATAGCTTTAGACAAAGCAGGGGGAAGAGGCAGAATGGCTTCGCCACTTCCTTGAAGATATTTCAATATGGCCAAAACGGGTGCCTACTATATGCATACATTGCGATAGTCAATCAGTAATAGGCAGAGCACAGAGTCATATGTATAACGGTAAGTCACGACACATTCGTCGTCGACATAACACCGTAAGGCAACTACTCTCTAATGGAATAATTTCCATTGAATATGTGAAGTCTAAAGGCAACATAGCGGATCCTAACCAAAGGGTTAGCAAGAGAGCTAATTGAGAATTCATCAAGGGAAATGGGACTTTAGCCTATTAAATAAGAGTTACCACAACGGCAACCCAACCTAGTTGACTGGAGATCCTAAGATCTAGGTTCAAAGGGACAATCGAGTTGTATATGACTCAGAAGGATCACTGGGGAGTTAAACTAATACCCCATTTCTATGATGAAATAAGTGATGTCTGCAGCGTTTTAGGTTAAGTAAAATTTTAATGATTCTTATATCTAAGTAAACCTAGTGGAGTATGGCAGGATACTTTTCATAAGAATCACCTATGTGAGTGTGAACTGGGCTGGTTCTATGAGATTTGTGAAAGGCTACAATTCTCTAGAGCACTCATGAAAGACCAAGTTGTTTAGGGCCAAAATGAACACAATAGTGAGAATTAAACTGTGTCTGGGGATATACTGTGTGAGTTCTATTGTCTTGGTTTACACAAACGGCTGAACAGTTCAAGACATCATGTTCACTGGTTCGCTAGTAAATCTGATAGTGTCTCACAAGGGAAGGTTCAAAGCCAAAAGCTACCTATCCTTTGTAGAATATTTCCAATTTCGGTACTCTCTGTAATTAGATCATGTTGTTGCATTTTCTCCCCGTCAAATTCCATTCATGTGGGGGATTGTTGGAAAAATGGTGTTATATAGGTTTATTTTGTGTCATCTTTGAGTCCAAAATTGAGTAGGCCCCAACCGTTTTTTGGGTTGGGTCCGAAGAGGTGATGTGTTCCTTGCTGCGTGGCAAGCCACACGGTGAAGACGGAACGTCAAAACCATTTATGAGTGAATGGTAAGTTGACGTCGTTTTCGGGTCTAACATTAATTTTTTAGACAATACATTTGAATTTTTTCAAAAAAATTATTGTGGGAATTTAGTTTAAATCTAAATTCAAATTTTAGTTTCCTAAGTGGTTTCCTAAAAATGTACCTCTTCCTTTATTGATTAAACTGTTCAAACAGTTTAATAAAAATATTCCAACAATTTAAAAAACTGTTCCACCAACGGATACTTTTTCAAACAGTTTGAAAAATTGATCTAAGCAACGGACAAATCACTATTCAACAGTTATCTGTTTGAATAGTGCTTGCACCTATTCAATTTAAATGTGCACCTATTACTTCAATTTGGTACCTGTTCGGGTCAGTTTTTTGCCTATAAATTCAGACCATTTCCAGCAGTCTTGGACACGGAAAATCTATCTGAATTTTATTTCTCTTGCTGTCCAGATTTTTCTATTTGCATTATTTCTTCATATTAGTTTTAGAGTAAATTTAAAGAGTATAGAACATAAGGTTCTAGTTCACCGGACAAATTTGTTTGGAGTGCTACTACAAATTTATGAAGATCATTGTATCCTGGGAGATAGACGCCACTCAACCGTAAATACCGTAGCGGGGCGAATCTGTCTTAAGGGCAGAGTGTCACACACTCGACTTGGTCTTTGATTTTTAAATTCAATTCGATAAATAAATTCGGTACGTTATTTATTTATTTGTTTGATTTAGTTTCAATTTATTTTATTTACATAGAAGATTGTTCCAACAGGCAGCACAAGGGTTCTCACCTTAAGATAGGGGTGCAACTTGGGCGGATTCAACCCAAGCAACCCCAGCCCAGCCCGAATTTTTTTAGGGCTTGGACAAAATATTTTAAAATTCGGTACAGGCTTGGGCAAAAATTCAGAAGCCCGAATTAAATTTGGAAGGGTTTCGGCAAAGATGTCAAACAACCCAAGCAATCCGAAACCCGAATTGTACATATATAGATATATAAAAATATTAAATATAAATATAAATTATTAGTCATTACATGATATTAAAGTAATTTATGTTATTAAATCATATTGAATATATATTATATATACAAATAACATAAAATCTTATTTTTCATTATATAAATTATTTGTTTTGATGGTATTAATAATTTTCTATAAAAAAATAAAAAATAAAATCTAAATAGAGTCAAAATTTAATAATTTAATAATGTAGCTGCAAAAAAAAAATACTAAAATTCATTTATAATTCGGGCAATTCAGGCAAATCGAGTAATTCGGGTTTAACTCGGGTCGGGCTTGGGCAGATATCCTCGGGTTACAATTCGGGCTTACGCGGGCTTGGGCAAGTCTCAGCACAACTTGGACTGGGCTTGGACAACCTCCCAACCCGACCGAACCCGCCCGAGTTGCACCCCTACCGTAAGATATGCAAGTAGGTTTTCGTTACGAGAGAATAGCACCTAGAAATAGCCCTGCAAAAACTGTAATAATTTCTCACAATCAGAAGATATGTAACCCTTCCACCAAAACCTAATTGAGGATAAAATACATCATCATTATAAAATAGAAAATCTAAAAAGTAAATTCCAGAATATTTCCCAAAAGGAACAAAATCGAAGCATAAATTCATATTGTCCACCTCTCTCTCATTAAACTAACCTGTCCTTGAAAATCAATACTTGTTGCAACCAAAGGAAGTTCCGCTACTTCCTCTCCGAAAATCCGAATAATCCTAGTAGACACAATGGTTGAGCTGCATAATTAGAAATGATGATAATAAGTAACCAATACAGGGTGCAAAAGCTACATAAATCCTTTAGAAATAATCTTACTTGACTAACAATATTGCACAATATATCCCCCCAAATTCTTGATCTCTCACGTTTCTCCTGCAGAAACATTTGAAAGTAATTAGCACATAAAAATTCTAGTTAATACATTGCAATACCCATAAAGATAGTAAGTAACAAACTTGCTGATAAACATAAATGATTGGAAAGAGAATGCTAATGCTTACCCGTAAACCATTTTCGGAATAAGATCAATGCTGGCAGTGCTTGAAACTTCTATTGGGTCAACCCGTTCCTAAAAACAAAAAACAATTAACAAATAATTATTATTTCAGTGAAAATATTTCTTCTGGGGTAGACACAATAAACTATCAAGTCATATCATGGAAGGTTTAGAAAAACTTCAAAACTACTAAATGGCCCCAAGAAGAACTCAGTGCATAAGTGAAAATCTCAATGGTTGAAATCCATAAATTGACTACCTAAGAAAGAAAGAAGGATATATACTTTTAAAAAGGTGGTGCGTGTGTCGAATACCAACACTCATTGCACACTTCCTGACACGTGTCGAATAAACGATCAAACATGTCCATCATTAGTCTTATGTTTTATTTTATTTTTTATCATTTTTTAATGAACACTTAAAATTTGACAAAGGATACTAAAAGAATGCCACTTACTGCAAAGGGTTGCGGTTATTTTATTTCATTTTTAATTTTTTGATAAGTAAAGAGGACACCAGAATATAACTACGAAAAACTGGCTTCCTTAAAACCATAAACATATAAAAATCGGAATGAAAATAACAAGGGAACAAAACAACCTAAAAGAACAAAAATCAATTCAAAAGTTAGTGCCACTAAATTTGGATTGGTATTGATTCAGAAAGGAAAAACATATATGATTCAAATTAAGATACATGGCATGCCAAACAACAGTTGCTTCTTCAAGAAAATGGAGTTTACACATCAATGGGCCACATTCAGAAGCTTCAAGTGAGCAATATCAAATTAATTAAATTATAAAGTAGATTCATTCTTTCTCTCTTCAGAATAATCGTAAACTTAATACTGAACCTCAACTGTCACAAAAATATGCCACAACAACTCGATATGCGAGGGTAAAGCTGCATAGAGGTGTGGCCAGTATTCGTGTCTAGTGAGTGCACAACCTTACCTAGAATCATACTCGATTTTTTTAGCATTTGATAATCGAAAGAAGTAAATATATAGAAATGCTGGTTTCAGAGAAAAAAACAATCTAGACTTTGTCAATGCATGCAACAAGCATTACTCGAGATGAGATAGGTTCTAAGTGGCCTAAAGCTAAAAAAGAGAATAGCAAGGTCAAGAAAGTTCAGTCTTTGCAGAAAACATACAATCAATCAGCAAATGAAACGAAAATTAAGAATCAAACAAAACAACAAGAATCCAACAATATGTCGTCCTTTTGTTGAAATAAATACTTTTAACTGAAGAATTAGGATAATGAATTGCCTTAAAATTATATTTATTTTTATATACACAATACTGGTTAGGATGGTTCATTCAATAGGTTGCTCAGTTGCTTACTTCTTTTGTGACCTTTTCTTTATTTATTGGTGTAACACAAGAACGCTTCTGACATTAATTTTGAAAATATTCTCAGAATTTATTGACCTGTGGTGCCTTTCATACATCATAGAACTTAAAACATTAATTTAGGAAACTTTGACACTAAAACATATTGATCTGAACATATTTGAAGAATCAAATGAATCTTGAAAGAGCAAATGACCAATGAAAAATAGCAATCAACGATTGCTCACATGAAAGATCGAAACAGCCTTTGAAAGTAACGGTCTAGTTTCTTTAGAAACCATCTTCCCACTAAGAAGCCTCCATCTTATATCAAGATCAGTAGTACACTTGATACCTCTCTCCTCAATCTTCTTCTTAACAACATCTAGCAAAGATTCTGGCAACTTTTCTTCTCCACTAACTAATAGGTTTTGCAAAGCAGAATGAATCCTACTGCAATCCATGCAACAAAACCAATTCCTAATGGGCAATTCCTGTTGCACAAGCGGCAACAACTTTCTATTCAAACATAACTCCATGTGAACTGAATATATTCAGACAAATATATACATACATACATATATATATATATATATATAGAGAGAGAGAGAGAGAGAGAAAGAAATGTTGAAATGAAGAAAAGAAACGCAATTATATAAACTATTGGAGGTCACCCCATGTGAAAGGGGTGATCCTCATGCTGCAGGCCAATTATTGTTCCAACTCCATGCAAGTAAAGGAGAGAGTCAAGCAAGGATGGCGTGCAAGGACTTCCACCACAAGTGAAGTGAAGGTCTAAGCTGGGCACTTCTCTCTTCTCTTCCCGTTGTAGCCATTGTTGACTCTCACCATTAAAGAAGGTAGAAAATGGTGGTGAGTTTGTCTCTTCTCCCTCACTCTCTTTGTGTATAAATAGAAACGGGAGGGAGAGGGTGATTTGCATCAAAAATTTGAGAGAGAGCTGTGAGTTGAGTAAGAATTTTTATCTCCTCCTTTGTTTTGTATTTTGCTCCATTTTAGTGAAAAATTCTCATTTATGTCCGTGGATGTAGGCATTAGGCCGAACCACGTAAATATTGTGTTGTGTGTGAGATAATTTTTCTGGGTGTGTTTGATCCTAACAAAGAGGTATCAGAGCGGGTTTTGTATGTTTTCGGCAAAACAGAGTATGTTCTCAAAAAATGCCCATTATTGCTCTAATACCAATTGTTAGAGGTCACCCCATGTGAAAGGGGTGATCCTCATGCAGCAGGCCAATTATTGTTCCAACTTCATGCAAGCAAAGGAGAAAGTCAAGGAAGGATGGCGTGCAAGGACTTCCACCACAAGTGAAGTGAAGGTCTAAGCTAGGCACTTCTCCCTTCTCTTCCTGTTGTAGCCATTGTTGACTCTCACCATTAAAGAAGGTAGAAAATGGTGGTGAGTCTGTCTCCTCTCCCTCACTCTCTTTGTGTATAAATAGAGACGGGAGGGAGAGCGTGATTTGCATCAGAAATTTGAGAGAGAGTTGTGAGTTGAGTGAGAATTTTTATCTCCTCTTTTGTTTTGTATTTTGCTCTATTTTAGTGAAAAATTCTCATTTCTGTCCGTAGATGTAGGCATTGGGCCGAACCACGTAAATATTGTGTTGTGTGTGAGATAATTTTTCTGGGTGTGTTTGATCCTAACAAAGAGGTATCAGAGCGGGTTTTGTATGTTTTCGGCAAAACAGAGTATGTTCTCAAAAAATGCCCATTATTACTCTAATACCAATTGTTAGAGGTCACCCCATGTGAAAGGGGTGATCCTCATGCAGCAAGCCAATTATTGTTCCAACTCCATGCAAGCCAAGGAGAAAGTCAAAGAAGGATGGCGTGCAAGGACTTCCACCACAAGTGAAGTGAAGGTCTAAGCTGGGCACTTCTCCCTTCTCTTCCCGTTGTAGCCATTGTTGACTCTCACCATTAAAGAAGGTAGAAAATGGTTGTGAGTTTGTCTCCTCTCCCTCACTCTCTTTGTGTATAAATAGAGACGGGAGGGAGAGCGTGATTTGCATCAGAAATTGGAGAGAGAGTTGTGAGTTGAGTGAGAATTTTTATCTCCTCTTTTGTTTTGTATTTTGCTCTATTTTAGTGAAAAATTCTCATTTCTGTCCGCGGATGTAGGCATTGGGCCGAACCACGTAAATATTGTGTTGTGTGTGAGATAATTTTTCTGGGTGTGTTTGATCCTAACAAAGTGGCATCAGAGCGGGTTTTGTATGTTTTCGGCAAAATTGAGTGTGTTCTCAAAAAATGACAAGAAATCAAAGTGGTAGAAATTCACTTTTGATCAGATGAGGTTGAAGCGCTCGAAGAGACGAGCACAGCGGTGAAAAACGCGTCGAAAACGGAGATCTGACGGCCCCTCATGCGCCACACGCGCTCTGTGACGCCGTTCCCATGCACGACCGCCCTCACACGCGCAACACACGCTTCTAGAGGAAGAAAACGCGTGATTTCATGTATAGACACGCGCCAGACGACGTCATCCACTGACGTCATCCAAGCCGAGCCGCTAGTCGATGCCAAGCCTCCAGCCGGCGCCGAGCCGCCAAGCCGAAGTCGTTGACCAATCGCGCCGCTGACCAAGCCGCTGACGTCAACCTGACGCCAGCCGAACCGGAGAATTAATCTAGTGCTTCTTAGGCGCTCTAGAAGTCACCGATCTGAACCATTCAACTTGTTTTGGCTTGATCTGAGCCATTTGAGGTCCGATTTGGGTGATCCAATAGTGCTTTCCAACTATTTGGAATATTTTGGACACATCCGTACAGTTAGATTTTGCAAATCAGCTTTAAAAAATTTATATTTTTTATTTTGGCAATCCGAAGTGCTTTTGCGGCTAATTTGATCAGTCCGGACTCAATGGCAAAGTCAATAGAGGAATCCACATCAGTTTCAGGGTTAATGATTCGGTTGAACACTTCCAATTATGCGATATGGAAAACCGTGGATGGAGGGCATCCTGTATTGTAAAGACTTGTTTGACCCTATAGCACTAAAAGGGGTTAAACCAGATGGGGACAAGGATGAGGACTGCATAAAAACTAACCGGAAGACTGTCGGTCAAATCAGATAGTGGATTGACCACAGTGTGTTCCACAATGTTGCCCAAGAGACGGACACCTATGCCCTATGGATGAAAATTGAGGGCATGTACCAGTTCAAGACCACACGGAACAAAGCCTTGATAATGAGAAAGCTTATAAACTTGAAACTGAAGAGTGGTGTGTCTGTTGCTGAACACACCAGTGAATTCAACAGCCTTGTGAACCAGCTTGCATCAATCAAAATAGAGTTGGAGGATGAGATGCAAGCATTATTATTACTCAGTTCCTTACCAGACAGCTAGGAGACATTGGTGGTTTCTCTCAGTAATTCTGCACTTGAAAGGAAGCTAACCATGGGAATGGTCATAGACGCCTTATTCAACAAGGAGGCAAGGAAGAGAGAGATAGGAGGAGAGCAATCCCAGGCCTTTGTCACAGAAAGTAGAGGCAGAGATAGAGTAAGGGACAGAGGTAGAGGAAGAAGTAAAAACAGAGGGCGTTCACAATCCAGGCAGGGCAACACGAGGAGGTGCTTTTACTGTGATCAAGAGGATCATGTAATAAGAGATTGCCCAGAGAAAAAGGCGGACAGACAAGCCAAAGAGAAGGCTAAGGGACACGGGGGTCCCTCAACTACAGCAGTTGCAGTGAATTCCTCTGATGATGAAGATGTGATGCTTACAGTCTCATCAGAGTTAGAGACACCCGACTGGATTTTGGATTCAGGGTGTACGTTCCACATATGTGCGGATAGGAAGTTTTTCTCCACTTACCGAAGAGTCAGTGGTAGCATTATCCGGATGGCCAACAACACAGTGAACAGAGTTGTCAGCATAGGGACAGTGCGGTTCCTTACTAAGGATGGAAGAAAAGTGGTTTTATCTGAGGTCCGACATGTGCCAGGAGTACAGAGGAATCTAATCTCCCTGAGTATGCTATATCTAAAAGGAAAATGGCTCTCATCTAGTGGCGGGGTTCTTCATGTACACAGAGGCAATAGAGAAATGTTGCAAAGCAAGTTGTGCAACAAACTGTACAGACTGGAATGAGAAGTTTTGACATAGATGAGTGTTGTCAAACGCCAGTCGAAGGGTACAAAGAGAGAACATACGCAACCAAAGCGTATGACTAAGCAAGGCTTTCATCAGGAATGGCAAAAAAGGTGCACGGGAATGCAAGGAGGCAGTTCAAAGATGCACAGATCTGAGCCAGTGAAGCCAATCTTAAAGGAAGTTCAGAGCAAAAAAACCAAGTCGATAGAGACTGTGCCAGTGAAGAAGAGAGTTTCTTTTGCTCCCGTATTAGAGACATTTTGCAACCTCTCAAAAGATGCATAGAAGGGAGGGATGCAATCTTGAGTCGCAAAGTGAGCTTTGCACAGCACCCAATAAGGGGGTGGGAGCACTATGCACGGAGTTGCATAGTGGTAGCTTGTACAGACCGGTGGAAGCTGTCTTGGCAGAAGGGCTAACTGTCAAACAACAATACGGATGTACAAGTGAGACAGAACCGAACATCAGGGATTGCAATACAGACAACAGGTGTATGAGATCGCTGGGAAGTTGGTCTGAAGTGCAGAAAGCAAAGGCTAGTTATTCAGAAATAAGCTCCGAGCAAGGAAAATTGAGGATGTTGATGTGTCAAACTCTGAAGTTTTCTAGTTGCTCCCGTGTTCATCAGGCAAGGAGTTGCATAGCAATGCCCCAAGCAGGAGGTGCAGGGCATCCAATCAGGAGGTGTCGAATACCTTGGCAGCAGGTTTTGTTGCGGATCACCTCACATGGGCTGAGGGGGTGATTGTTGGAGGTCACCCCATGTGAAAGGGGTGATCCTCATGCTACAAGCCAATTATTGTTCCAACTCCATGCAAGCAAAGGAGAGAGTCAAGGAAGGATGGCGTGCAACGACTTCCACCACAGGTGAAGTGAAGGTCTAAGCTGGGCACTTCTCTCTTCTCTTCCCGTTGTAGCCATTGTTGACTCTTACCATTAAAGAAGATAGAAAATGGTAGTGAGTTTGTCTCCTCTCTCTCACTCTCTTTGTGTATAAATAGAGATGGGAGTGAGAGGGTGATTTGCATCAGAAATTTGAGAGAGATCTGTGAGTTGAGTGAGAATTTTTATCTCCTCATTTGTTTTGTATTTTGCTCAATTTTAGTGAAAAATTCTTATTTCTGTCTGTGGATGTAGGCATTGGGCTGAACCACGTAAATATTGTGTCGTGGGTGAGATAATTTTTCTGGGTGTGTTTGATCCTAACATAAACTACAAACCTTTAGATCAATTATTTCATACTGTTTCAAACAATCAACGTGATACTCCTTCGCACACTAAAAGCACAAAAGCAACACGCCAAAAAAAAAAAACAGAAAAAGAGGAAAAGAAAACACATAGTTTGTTGCGATCACAATCAATTAAGAATCAAAAAGAACATTGAAATTCAAATATGACAAGGCAAAGACAATGACAA